GACAGAATTGTTCTCTAACTTTGATTTTGATGTCAAACATTTAAAATTGAAACACAACCTGTTACCAGATCTCCTTTCCAGACCAAAAATCTCTTTGATCACTCCTCTATCCATTCCAATCATCTACATGATGAAATCTCAATCTTCTAATCATTACCCTCACATTGAAGTCTTTCCTCCTGAACTCAATGAGCTCATAAGAACCAAAACCCTCAAATCCAGATCTAAGGATCTGCATAAATTGATATTTGTACTTTTTCAAATAGATATCATAGATTGTGTCAAATTTTTATTTGCTACACAATTTTAATTATTATATGAGAACATTTGTAATAGAAGTGGGATTTGAAATTTTCATTAAGGGCATTTTGGTCTAAATTTTAGTAAAATAGACATGTAAGAAATTTTGGACATTTTTGCAAATGGTCATGGAAAAGTGGTCATTTTTTGAAATTTCCGCTTTATTTATTTGTATTTTTATATTTTCATTTGGTATCGATTATAGGTTTACAATAAATAAATAATCAAATGAATTACAATGTCATATCATCAATAAAAGTATAAAAATTAATAATTCAAAATTTCATTAAGGAAAAAAAGAAGAAGTTAAACATGTACCTAAAAATTAAACAAATTTCCATTTATAATTTAAATGAACACTTGAGTCTTGACGGAAAAGGCTGTAAACTGTTGGTTGTACTTTCACATGTCATCAATCATTAAATAGGCAATTAGAATTAAAAAATAAAAAGAACTTTACTTCATGTACAGCATGATGAGCCCCTCACATAGAAGGGGATCCACAAATTTTTTATTCATGGTGAGCACCCCTCACATGTGAGGGGGCTATACACCATGTTATATGACATAGTGTACAACCATCACTTTCCAAATAAACAATGGAGCTACTAGTCTACTATCTCCCACTTTCACCTGTCAAATATCTGTCATTGACAAGGTATGTATTAAACTTTTTCAAATTCCAAAGAACTATAATAAAAAAAAAAAATTACTTCCATTCCTCAAATTTTAAACTAATTAGCAATCATTGACTTTTAACACCAGCTACATTTCCACTTTTTAGCTGAGGTTATTAAGCAATGGTGTTTGTTGACTTCACAAATTTTGTAACGTGTTTTCTTTGTTTTTATAGAATTAA